AAAAGAAAATTTTTTTCTTAACCCCCTTCTCAAAAAAAAAAAAAAAAAAAAAAAAAAAAAAAAGTACAGACATCTTGAGTTGCTGTGTAGGTCATGATGCAGCAAACTGTTCAAAGATTGTTTCTGGGGAAAAAAAAAGTGTTGCTGCTGGTTTTGGTGATTTAAAAGACTTATGGTCTTCAGTTCTAGAAATTAGGATATGTGCCTTTGAAGCTTTGAGAAGATTTATTTGTTCTTGTCATTACCCTAGTTTAATGGAGTTGACTAAGATCTTTGAGAAGTTTTTTCACTGTGTTACACCAAAGGGCTTGTAATAAGCATCTGAAACGCAGTTTAGAAGTCCGAAGGTCCTTCTCAAATCCTGGCTACAGAATCCTGACTTGAAAGGATGTGCTTCAGCCAAAGCCAACAAAGATGAGCTTAACACTTGGACGGTAGGAAAAAAACCTCAACAAAACAAATCTGTAATCACTCTTCTAATATAAAAAGCAAAACTCAATCAAAGCTTCTGTAACTTCATCTTTAAGAGTTAAGTAAATGATGGTCTTCTGGGCAGTGTTAATTATGACCTTCTGTTTTTCCTGGGTTTTTTTTCTGATATGAAAACTGCTGTAAGTCACTCAGGTTCATTTGTCAAGGATACTTTTGATACCTAATGCATTAATTGTACTAGAATATAATTTGACTTACAGTTTTGAGAATCTTTGCCCAGACCTCAGCAGGACTCCTGGCAGATCTCATGTGCCCTTCTGCAGAGCATTTCTTACTGTTCCTAGGAGCCCAAGAGAAACTCCACTTCTACTGTTGTTCCTAATTGGATAAATAAATGTTGATTAAAGAATGAATAGCCTGGGTAAAATATATTGGAAAAAAATTCAGTCCTGCATGGCATCTTAAAAATTGCATTGTATTATGCTTAGGTTGATGGGGCAAGGGTGGATGTTAGTTTTATTTTTATTCAGGTGTTGAGACTGGTTCATGGAACGGTCACCAGTCTAAATGTCACATGGCCTGTCAGAGATGACTTCAGCTGTTGTGTACGTTTGTCTTAGCTTATTCAAGCTTGAAATATCTAAATCCTCTGAGAGATTGAAGTGAAGAATGTCATCACATGACTGAGTTTCTTTTCAAATTGAAATGCAGAAAAGCATTTAAGATAAATGGGTCTCAAGTTGTGACGAAGGAAGTGGTTTTAAAGCATAATGCACAGCTATGAAATAGGCAGCAGTGTAGCATTAGGTTTTGAGTACTTACTTAAGTCCACTTCAAAAAAAGATTGCTTTAAAAGTGAAGATTAAATCTGAGCCACGTCCTCTGTAGGAAAGTATATATATTCCTCCTTTTGAAAGACGGTGCCATGAATTCACGACTTGAACTGGTGTCTAACAAATGTGCTGTTTAATGTTTTGTGCGTATACCAGAAGAGTTAGTAGTCTGTATATTGCAAATGAAATTATGTTACTGCATCTGGTTGCAGGTGATGCTTTTCTTCTTTTTTTCTCTTTTTTTTTTAAACGGTTTTGTTTTTTTCTAGCATAGATAGTGTTGGAATTTAAAGAGCATGTGGGCGTTCAGTTAGTATGAATAACCAGTGGTGGTTTGCGCTGACCTATTTTGGAAATATCAGTGGCCAAATGCAATGTATTTTAGAGAAGACAAATGCATGGAACTACTTCTGTAATATTTATTCTGAAAGATGTAATCAGTTTAGACAACCAAATCTGAACAAACGTTCGAGATAAATGAGAGATTTAGTTAACTTTTAGAAAACAGAACTAAAACTTGTATTTTAAAAGCATTGTCGGATTTCAAAACAATGATGTATAGTGTAGATCTTAAAAGTATATAGATTTAAACCCTTGAAGCATTAAGATGCTTACATGTGAGCTCTTTTATTAACAAGAATTTTGTAGTTCTTGGCATATGAATACAACTAAGTTTCCATGAAAATGCTTTTTTCCTGCCTTGCCCCAGTGTTAATACCATAATGTTAAGCACACATGTAGAACTTAACTGGAAAGTATAACTGAGTAACGTATATTGTGAAATGAAAGCAAGGGCTACCTGACTTACTAATGCTGAATATTTTGTTTGAGGTATAAACATATGGATGAGTGTGGAAGAGAGTGAAATATCCTTTAGTGCTATAGTGGGAATTGCATTTCATTCTTATGATAACGTACTGAACCTTTGCAGTGTTTTTTTTCTTGTCACTAGAGTTTTCTAGAGGCAGCATCAAATCTGTGAAGCCAGCCTAGGTGAGGTTGTGACCCTGGTGACCCAGCCATTTCACTTAGCTTGTTGCAGCTGCCACCAGTTCTATTTATGAACAGAAAACCCTTAGGACCTTCATGTAATTTCACTTGAAACCTGGCTGATGCAGGCTGAGATACTGTTGAATGTCTTGCTCTGACAGCTCTGAACTGATTGTACAGTGTATGGTGTATTCTGTGAAAGGGGAAATCAAAATTCTTACTGAAGATGGTGTTTTAATTTTCAGGTTCGCTGGATGATGTATTGGATTGTGTTTGCTCTTTATACAGTTACTGAAACAATAACTGACCTAACAGTCTCTTGGTAAGAGCCTGCTTTTTATGAAATCTATACGAAACTATGTTTCTGATGTTCTTTGATTCGTAATGATTTAATTTTTATAAAGAAGTTGTGCTTGTTGATAGCACTTTTTCTCAGGAAAAGATCTCGGAGTGTATGTGAAGAATAACATCTGTTTTCAAGCTTGCTGTACACTGTCACTCGAGGTAGGGACGATAAAACTTCCGCCTTTGCTGTAGAAACTGAATAGGGGAATGGAACTCTTAAAAGGATGGACTATAATTTCTCTGTGCAGGGAATGTATAATGCAAAGCAAGTATATTAACTGTTTCCATTTCTTAAATGACAGTACGGTCAGTTAAAAAATTAAATCCATAGGTCTATAACTCATTTAATTTTTGTCTAATATAACTTCTTGTATGTGAAAAATCCTATATGCTAATATGTAATTGTGTTTTTTGAAGACATCTCTTCATGATTAACTACTGTGCATTTTCTTACTGCAGTTGTTGATTTCATGCAACCTTTAACTTGTCTGTAGGTTTCCACTGTACTATGAACTGAAGATAGCTTTTGTTATTTGGCTCCTTTCCCCATATACTAGAGGGGCAAGTTTAATCTACAGAAAATTTCTTCACCCGCTGCTTTCTTCTAAAGAAAGGGTAAGAAATAACTTCTTATATTTTTAATGCCCAATATGGAAATACCATGTACTGAAATATTAACTGTTGCTAGATACATGATAAAAGCAGATCAGTGTGTTACTGGTTTGCCAGGCAGCATGGACTTGGACTAGAAGAGGCAAGTGCATATGACTGTCCATATATATGTTTCTGTTTAACTTGGATGAGAAGACAGTGTGCTACTTTCTATTGACATGAGATAGCCTGGTGTTCTTTGGTCTACTTGGTGCACTTTGGGGAGCTCAGCTGAGTGGAAGTGATGCAGTTTGACTTTCTACTGGAAGACCATGTGCAGTACTCCCTGTGCAGAAGCGTAAATGCAGTTTTAGCAACAGCTCTTCATGTTACCATTTTTTCTAGCATAATGTAGTAATAAAAGTTCTCAGGATGAATGTCGTTGATGACTTTTCTGGTGTGCAAACTGAAAGGGTAAGAGGAGAGACTTTCTACTGAGGTTTAAGGGAAGACCAGTCTGCAACAGAAAACAACAAAACAGAACATAGCTAAAGAATATTTAGCTTTAGCGACAGTATGACAGGGCCACAGATCTGCTTAGCTCTTTTTCAGTATTCTGTTTGGATGCGTGGAAGAAGCGATTAGCAAAGGTGTGAAGACTACCACTGAAAAATTTCACAGTACAGAAAATAGCATTCATAAAGGTCAGTGCTGGGCTTGGCCTTTATTAGGCAAAACAGGTAGCTGACATGATTGCCACTGATATGAACAGTAAGGTCATCTTGACCTTCTGAAGGTTGAACAGTTCTTTCGCAACTTCATAAGCTAAAGGGATTTTTCCCCATAGTCTGCTAGCTGTTGTGAACTACCTTGAAGCCTTTATCTCCAACTTCAGGCATTTACCACGTCTGGGGATAAATGTCATGACTGTATTGTCCTTGGTACTTAACTATGTCAAAGCTCTGGCTTTAGAAGTTCTTTGTGAGCCGACTCTACCTTTCTAAGGAGCTCTCTGATTTCATCTTAAGCATGTTATTTCTAGAACAGCTTTTGTCTGACAAGCTAAGTGTATTCTCTGTAAGGAACTTGCTATGTAGCTGCAATGTTTCTGAGCTGGACAAAAGTCATCTATTTTATCTTCTTGTTTGACCAGACATAATCCTTTTTAAATGAGAGAGTATAAGTGAATGAAATATCAGTATACAAAGGCAAGAGTAATTGTCCCATTAAATATTTTCTTAAGATTTCTTCTGTCTTCCTTTATTGATGGAAAAATTATACTGTAGGGTAATGTGACTTATGCGCACAGCCCTCTAAAATTTAAGTATGTTTTGCTTTTAGGAGATTGACGAGTACATCGTACAGGCCAAAGAAAGAGGCTATGAGACCATGGTGAATTTTGGAAGGCAAGGGTTGAATTTGGCAGCAACTGCCGCAGTGACAGCAGCTGTAAAGGTAACTTTCTACTTGCATTAATTGCTTTTGTCCTTGATATACTTATAGAACAGTGTAATTGTACTGAGGATTTGCCATTCCTAAATAAAGATTACTTCTGCAAATGAATTGAAAACCTGGAACTCAATTTAAGGGTTGCAGCACTCTAGTCCTCCTCTACTATGTTTGTTTGTTTAAGATGGCTTGTAGTTGTTTCTTGGATGATGGGGATCAGTTTACTGTAATTCAAAAGATACCACGCAGTTTTCTATGCAGACTTTTGGTAAAGATGACGATTGTTTCTTTTCTGTCTCTGTTGTGCTTTCTTGTTGGTAAACAAACTATTTAAAGGATTTCTGGCTTTTCTGCTGTTTTTCTCCAATCAACTTGAGGTAACTCCACATATGAAGTAAGGCATGAAAGATTACTACCACAGATAAAAGTTATCTTGTGACACAATTAACTGGTTTGCAACTTGTTGATTGAATTATTAAATTAATACACTAAGCATAAGCTTGCATATTGCTGTTTAGCATACTCTTGCTTTGTCATGTAATTTCCATTAAATCATGTAGTAACCTGTGGTTGTTCCCAATTTATGTTCCTACAAAACTCAGGACCTTCAGTTGAATTTCAGAGGGTTCTAGGTCTAGGGAAACAAAATAGAAACTTACAAGAGTCAAAGCAACTTGTGGCCCACCAAAAGGAGTATAACTTTAGGCAATGTGTATCCTACCTAATAGTCATTTAAACCAAAACACGAAAAAAGTGTGGAAAGATGTGTGTGTCCTAGCTAAATGATAGTTTTAAGGCGATCAGGATTAATTTCTTCCTGGGAATAAATGAAACTGCTGCGTTCATAGTAACAGGACTGAAAACCTGAACACTGTTAGTAGGTAACAGAAAGCAATGTAGAGATCCCTGGCTGTCAAAGTTAAGTAGGTACAGCTAGCATTTAACTTAAATTTCTGTGGCTATATGTGAACTTCTTGCTTTATAAATCAAAGACATTTCTAAAAACTGCATTTTCAAATGCTATCTCAAAAAGCTTTGGAAAAATAGTCATGCATCTCTTGTTTGTTCATGTTCTCTCTTTTCAAAGATATATGTGGGTGGTAGTGTGAAAAATATCTTTTTTTATTTTAAAATATGGACATAATGAGCCAAAAATACTAAGAATGTGATTCAATATGATCACTGGTTCTTTTTTTTGTTATTCAAATTCTTAGTATTGCCTTGAGGCATGAAATAATTTAGAATCAAATAGATTTCATCTCTAAAGGAATGAAAGTATCCAGAGTGAAAATAGGTTATTAAAAAAAAAACAAACTAACAAACAAAACCTCAAAGCACTCTACTGGGAAAAAGTTTAAGAACTATGCCAAATGCTAAAATGCAAATTCTTTGCCAAACAGCAAATCATAATTTATTACAATGTGCACCTGTAATGATACTTATGCTCTGTGTGTTTTCCTTATGTCTGGCTAAGGTTGGATATTGCCTTGTTAATCCTTATGGTGTTACAGAAATACTGTAAAATAAATAACACAAGTATCTCCTCCCACTTTCTTCTGAAATAATGAATAACTTTTTCCTAAATGTCTGTGTTTAGATTTCATCGCTATTCAGCTGTGACTGGCAAGATGCCTGCTCTATTTGTTAAAACTTGTTAAACATGCTCATGAATGTTTGTACAGAATTAGTTCAGTGCAGATGAGATGCTTGGGCAAAACAACCACCACAATACCAAAGACCTAAAATAGACATGGTTTTTAAACACTATGAAAGAAGAGACTCTGAAAATCTTTATTTTGGCACGTAAAACCTCTCTTCAGTTCGTCATTCCAAAAAGCTGAGCGTGACTGCTCCATGCAAGCAAACGGAGACAATGCATGTGTTCTTGATTTTTGTTCCCTGTTTTTCAAGAGTTGACTGCTGCCTCCAGCAGGTGAAAAGATTATCCCTTCAGCATGAGTTGGTGGAGCATGCTATAGGATTTCAGGAATGGAATCCTATTAGTGGGATCAGTTTTGATGGGAAGGAGACACACTTTCATCACTTTTTTTTTTCTTTTTTAAATTTTATTTTTGAAGGAGCAGGCATGCTTATTCTGACATACTGGATCTCAAATTAGGAGTAGAGAATGTGGGAGGTTAAACACAAGAGGAGGTCCAAAGAAAGCTTCTGTTCACTAAAGTGTCCAAGCAAAAGATACTACGATGTCTGCTTATGCTGACTTCAGGAAGGTGGTAAAATTGCTTGGAAACTCTCTGGAATGTTTTCACAATCAAGTGTGGGAAAGAGCAGTTTTCTCCAAGGGCTGTCAAAGGAATATGGGATTAGTGTTAAAAGCCTAGTTGGCTGTGTAGGGGAGGCTGGATCAGCCAGCCAAGTCAGTCTGCCGAAATTTGACATAGATTTAAACCTGCTCCACTGTAGTTAAGTTAAAATGTAATTGGCAGGAGTCGTGGCCTATAGCTTACATTCCTATACTGATATTTTTAGCTGGTACTAGTTAGCCACTGTTCATATAAGATTTAGTGTTTCAAAACTTGCTGAATAGCATACATTAGAAAAATAAATTGTGTTACACGTGTTAATTTAAGAAAACAAATCTTTGTAAAATCCTGATTTCAAGAGACTTAAGAGGTGAAATACGGTCTAGACTGACTTTTACAGGTGACTAATAAAAATTTTCTTTGGAGTATAAAAGAATCGGCAACAAGATGCCTTTAATGATAGGAAAGTTGTTGGAGCTCTTTCAGCTCAATAGTATATGGATTTGTGGAAATTATGTCCACAACACTAAGTTCCACTGATTATATCTTGTATTTTGATGCATCTGCTTTCCACATCTTCTGAGACGCCAATTACCTGTACACTCCAATTTTTGCCAACACATAAATTCTGAGTTCTCAAGCTACTAGTGAAAATTGGTTTCTGTATCACCACATGTGGAAGGGCTGCTAATTAAGCTGTGAAATGCACTGTCCTTTATGAGGTCACAGAAGTATTGTTCATTTGTAAAGTATTATTTGGTAAAAAAAAAAAAAAAACCCAAACAACATTTTGAGGGCTGTGTTTTTGCATGTCTTCTAGTCATCCTGAATCTGCTGCCTCTTTGCTGATTGAATATTATTCTAATGGCCTTGCTCAGACTTCCCCTTCTTCCCACTCAGGGCATGGCAGAGGAAGGAGGTATCTTGCAGCCAGCTGAGGCGTACAGCCAATATCACGATGAGCAGCTCAGCTCACCAGCAATACTGCTTTCATCCCTCCTCCCTAATGAGGACTGCCTGGCATGCTGCAGAGGTCATTCACGGGGCAGCAGTCCCTCTCCAGGTTGAGAGGGAACAGAAGTCATTCCCCGTCAGCCTGGATCGGATCAGGGAGAGAACAGCTGGGAATGTGGGTGCTGCACACTGCAGCTCTGCAGCCATAAAGCTCCAAGCAGCTCTGTGGACGCGCAGTCCATTGAGAACTTGTCCAATGAAGGAAAGCAGCTTTGTTCAGTGATCCTGACCACTGAGGGGGTGCAAGTCCAATTTAAACACCAAAAAAAAGAGTCCCTGAGGCAGACATACTGTGTGGTGTCTGTTTACAGCAACTTCCCTGGGTTAAGTATATAGACTATAAAAATACATGCTCAATAAAAAAAGAGAAGGGCATTTCATATATGAGGGTCAGCTGATGAAATGGCATACTAATAGCTTACTAGAGTCTGAGTAGTGTCAAAAGGAGTCCCTTAAGTAGGCTGTATTTATCAAAAACTAGATTTAGAAGCCCATTACAACTTAAATTAGTGCTTCAGGTTGGTCACTGGTAATGAATGTGGTCTCTGAAAAGTGTTTAATATGTTTTGGGAAATACTATTGAATAAATAAGCAGACTCATTCTTCAAGACTTGCATTTTGTTTAAGACAAAACAAACTTTACGGTTCATCTCTCTTCAATGTTCATTTACATAGAAATTTGAGCACTGAAGTTGTTCTCTGCTTTTTTGCCTGCATTGTAATTGTTAATGTGTGTGTCTCAATCTTTTGTGGTGTAGTTTAGTTGGCAGCCTCTGGGCTGGATGCAGCCCACTGTATTTCTTCTTTACTGATAGGAACTGTTGAAATAATAGGACACCAATGCAGGCGTGGCAACTGCTCTGCCATCTTCTTGTGAGCAGCATCTTGGTGCTGTGTGTATGGCTGGGGAGAGGTGATGGTTGCTGCTGTATCAATGGCTGCTGCCATACCCATGGCATGAGTGTTGGAAGCAGGAGATCCCCCTTCAGCTCCATCTGCAATTGGATTGCTCTGCCTTCTGTTTTGCAGGCAAACATCTTGCTTTCGAGCTGTGGCTAGTAACTCTCTGAACTTTCAAACAAGATATGAAAGCTCTTAATGCATTAATATTCTAAATGTGAATGTTACTCTCACATTTCCTGCAGTAGAGGGTATTTAATCTCTCATTTCCTGCAGCAGAGGGTATTTAATATTTTTTAGCCAGACTTTTATTCTGAGGTGATAGTAATTCAGACCCTCACGGAATGCTTTGTTTTGGCAGAAAGCAATTATCTGCTTCTTTTGGGCATGGGGAGTGGAAGAATCTTCCTAAATCTTAAGTGCTGTATGAGCACAGTGATATGGGGTTTTTTTTTATAATTAAAAAAACCTACACAAAACACCTTGAAACTTGTCCTACAATTAGTCTATGCAGTGGTGTGAAGTAGAAATCAATTTTGATTTGGCTAGACTGGATCTTCCTAGGGGTGTGGTGGAGACTGCATTCAGGCAGGAGAAGACTGGGGGGATTGTAGGGAGTACTTGCATAGGATTTGTGTAATGTGTGACCATGACTGTGCAGTGCAGCAGTGGTGCAGCCCCCATTCCTACTGTGACTCTCAGACATCTGTGCTGCATCTCTTATTTGTATGTGTATCTTTCAAACTTCTTAATATTTGCTGTGTGTAACTTGAGTGAAACTTTCCATCTTGGCAAGTACTTTTGAAATGAAGGGCCTATTGTATGAATCCGTTATGTCCTCACTGAATGAGGCAGTACTCCACAGGAGCTCTAGCCTCATTGAGCGTGCAGTTTGGTTAAGGGCACAATGTTATTTTATGGCACATAGTTTGACTTTTTTCCCCTTTGAAAAACAAAATTCTGTATCCAAAAGCTGCACTGAAAAATAAGGCTGAACATTCCCAGATTGGATCTAGTCCTCTATATCTACAGTGGAATAGGAAATACAAGCTTGTAATGTGAATTCTTCTTAGCATGTTAGTTGTTATAATCTTAATTACATTCTCTTGTACAATTTCCAAATGTCTTTTTGTAGTACATCATACTATGAATGAACGTGCTGTGCAACTGTTATGCAAGTGTGTCTTTCTATACTCTTGTTTCTGGCCGAATCCAGCTTCTGTTACTATTTTATAGTACATTCTGTCCACACTTAGTGAGTGGAGTTGTGCTGAATTTATATGGATTCTGCTGACAACCAGATGGGTACATTTTATGCATTCATCAGTGTTCAGTGATTGAGACCTGAGTCCAGTTGCATCGCTTTCAAACAGTGGATGCAGACTGATCAACAGCGTTATGTGTTATAGCAGATACTGTAAGCTGTTACTTGTCAAAAGAAGCGGTCCTGTCTCTCCAGTTCTCTTCTTTTCTTTAGTGTCCTGGCAGCTTGACTGTTAGTTCTCAGAGATGGCTCATTCCTGATTCAGTTTACTGTGCAAATGCTTTTCAAAGCAAGAACTGGAGTAGCAGAAGGGCAGGATTCCTGCCTTAAGGCAGGACAGACCTGCCTTAAATAAGCCATTTCAGGCAATAAAATTAACTTCAGAATTTCTACAATAGCTTATACACACTGTTCAGTGTCAGTAGTGCATTTTAACTCAAAGGCAAGCTGTAGTTGTGTTCTTGAGAACTGTCAGTCATCCTACATGTATGTAGGAAGAACTAGAAAAGTAAAGACTTCTACTTCTCTCATAGGAAACTTTTTCTTTGTTGTTGTTTAGTGGCAATGTATGAATGGTGGTGTAAAAATTAAAATAGGTGGTTCTTGCCTGTGTAGCACGTCTTAGCTTTATATGCTGTACTAATGAGTAGTCATTAGAAAATGACTATTAGGTTTCAGCAACTTCCC